AGTGGTGGTGGGAGCGGGAGTGGTGGTGGGAGCGGGAGTGGTAGTAGGAGTAGTCGTCGGAGCGGGAGTAGTAGTAGGAGTAGTTGTCGGAGCGGGAGTAGTAGTAGGAGTAGTTGTCGGAGCGGGAGTAGTAGTAGGAGTAGTCGTCGGAGCGGGAGTAGTAGTAGGAGCAGGAGTAGTCACCGGAGCGGGAGTAGTAGTAGGAGTAGTCGCCGGAGCGGGGGTAGTAGTAGTCGGAGGAGGAGGAGTTGTAGTAGGAGCGGGAGTGGTAGTTTCAACGGGGGCAGGTGTCGTAGTGTTGCAGACATAGTCTGAGACTTCAGCCATGGCCTTAACAACGACTTCAACGATATCACTGGAGTCCGCTTGGATGTACTGGAGGAAGGACGCTGGTTGGCCCATGTAGGTGGTGATGAACTCCGTCCATCTTTCTACTGCATTCGTTTCTACCTGGGGCACTAGGACCACAACATTAATATTGTATGCTTTCAAGACGGCGGCAGCCTGTGCCATAGTAGGGTAGTCATAGACTCTGCACTGGTCTGTGATTGAGATATTGGTGATATCGTCAGGGAACGTAGGCATGCTCTTGGGAGGTCTGGGCTCATCAGCGAGATAGTCGTCCCAGACGCCATTGTAGAAGTTATAATCTTCGGGATCATGGGGAACAGCGTCAGTTGAAAGGATGACCAGTCGTGCGCCGTTTGGGAGGAATAGTCCAGAGTGGTTAGTCTAGTGTTCACAAGGGCTCTCCACCCAGCACTGGCGTCCGTAGCCACGTTGATAAGGGCCTGGAGCTGGGCCTCGGGCAGATCTCCACCTCCAGATGCGTACAGAGTGTTGTAAGCCTTTTGGAAGGTTTCGGCATCCGGGACAAGACTGGTGGCGAGCCTGTAGCAGAAATCATCTGGCTCACCCAAATCCCTGTAAGGCTTATCCTTGAACTCGGCAGCTCCGAAGTACGACCCCGGATTCTGCTCCAAGACACGCTCAACAATCGTTGGGATGTTGGAAGCCACGTTAGGCAAATCCTCCAGAAAACTTCCAGTGGTGTCCTGAAGGATCATCACATCAACCGGGAGCAAGCAGGTTTCATCGGCCAAAGACACAGCACCGTAGAATGCAGCAATTGTGAACAACTTCATTCTTATTCCGTACTGTACACAACTATAAACTCAAAATAAGAGCAAAATTCACCGATCTATTTGAGATAGATAGACAGATTGCCACGAGCCGTCCGAGAGACGTTGCGCATCCTGCCAGCTTTCTTGCAAGACCTTCCCCTTAACTTTATCGTACCATTTTCGCGTCTGTAATTGACCATTTAAAATCATTGTTTTTGTCCAGTTTTGCCTTCAAAAATGATTTAGCTGTCGTTCTCAAGGTCCATATGCAACTTCATAGGCCTTCTACGAAGCTGGATAACCACGGCAGGACAATCACACGCACAGGGCCCATCAGTGCAGCTCTCCTCACATTCGCATACGGGAGGTGGGGTAGGGACGGATGCAGGAGTTGTCGTCGGAGCGGGAGTGGTGGTGGGAGCGGGAGTGGTGGTGGGAGCGGGAGTGGTAGTAGGAGTAGTCGTCGGAGCGGGAGTAGGTAGTAGGAGTAGTTGTCGGAGCGGGAGTAGTAGTAGGAGTAGTTGTCGGAGCGGGAGTAGTAGTAGGAGTAGTCGTCGGAGCGGGAGTAGGTAGTAGGAGCGAGGAGTAGTCGACCGGAGCGGGAG